GGAATATTACTCAGCCATAAGAAGAGATGAAATACTGCCATTTGCAACAACATGGATGGATCTCGAGATAATCATGCCAAGTGAAATAAGCTAGACAGAAAAGGTTGAAAATCACATGATATCACTTATATGTGGGATATAAACCTAAAAGCAACGAATGAATACGACAAACAAACAGAGACTCCCCCATTTCCCCCATTTCCCTCTGGTAACCACAAAACTGGTAGTTACCAGAGGGTAGGGGGGTGGGGAGCAAGGGGGAGGTAGATGGGGTAAAGGGGGTCACATATGTGGTGACAGAAAGAAATCTAACTATGGGAGGTGAACACACAGTGTAAATATATATATGCTTTACTGTTAAAGTGTACAGATGAAACATTGGATTTCATTAACCAATGTCATCATAAAAATAGAAATAAATAAATTAAAAATAGAACTAGGAAAAAAGAAAAGAATCAATTGAATTAAAAAATGAACAGAAGACCTGAATAGACACTTCTTCCAAGAAGACATACAAATGGCCAACAGACAAATGTAAAGAAGCTCAACTTCACTAGCTATTAGGGAAATGCAAAACAAAACCAAAATGAGATACCATCTCACACCTGTAAGAGTGGCTATCATCAACAAGATAAGTAATAACAAGTGTTGGAGAGGTTGTGGGGGAAAAGGAACCCTCATACATTGCTGGTGGGAATGTAAATTGGTACAGCTACTATGGAAAACAGTATGGAGGTTCCTCAAAAAATTAAAAATGACCCAGCAATCTCTCTTCTGGATATTTACCCCCCAAAATTTGAAAACATGTATTCAATAGATGACTGAATAAAGAAGCTGTGGTAGATCTATAGAATGGAATATTACTCAGTCATCAGAAAAGATGAAATACTGCCATTTGCAATATGGATAGATCTTGAGATTATCTTGCTAAGCAAAATAAGTCAGATAGAAAATTTTGAGAACTATATGATTTCACTCATATGTGGGATATAAAACTGAAAGCAAGAAACAGAACAAAACAAAGAGACTCATGGACATAGACAGCAGTTTTGTGGTTACCAGAGGGAAATGGGGGATGGCAGATATAAAGGTAAAGGGAGTCAAATATATGGTAACATTTAACTTTGGGTGGTGAACACACAATGCAATATACATATGACATATTACTGAATTGTACACATGAAAGCTATAGAATTTTATTAACCAATGTCACCCCAATAAATTTTAAAAACTGAATATGTGGCTCGAGGGACTAAGTGGTGAAGGAAGTAATATACCTGAAGAAGGTATGTGACAGGGCAGAGTATGCACTGGACTACAGGCTTAGAGACTTGGATTCATCTACTCAGCATATGCTGCTTGAGCATTATTATGTAGTGCTTAGAGTATGACCTCTGAGTTTAAATTCTGGCTCTATCCCCTCCTCATTGAGTAATAATTATGATTTACAGGCAGCAGTTTTAAGTTCTTGGTTTCTCATTAGTAAAGTGGAGATAATAATAGAACCTTCTTCATAAGGATTAGATCAGTTACCCACTCACAGTGTTTGGAACAATGCTTGCCTATACAAGCTTTTAACAGAAGTCATCTATGATGATAATGATCCACGTCTAACACAGTGGATACAAAGGTAAACCAGACACAATTCTTGTCCTTGGAAGCTTATAATGAATCAATCCAGAAAATGGATAATTACATCATAGTTGAATAGGTAGTACAACAGAGGTTTACACAAGGTACTAAGGAAACGCAAGGAGGACACCTAGACTGCATGTGTGAGGATCAAGAAAGAGTCAGAATTAGGTCTTGAGAGGTGAGCTGGAGTTATCAGGTAAAAGTAAGTAGCAAGGAGGCGGAGGGAGTAGAGAAAGTAGGCTCAAAGTCAAGGAACCTCAAGGAGGTCATGATGGTAGGACGAGGCTGGAGAAATGAGAAAAAGGTGAAGCTGTGAAGACGTGTGCAGAATGATGCCCACATGAGTGTCATCTCTAAGGCAGCCCCTAAGAAGTGAGGGAAGGGCAGCATCTGCTCTGCATTTTAAAAAGGTAATTACAATGTGGGGAATGCACTGGAGGAAGGGCTAAAGGAAAGGTGGCCGTTAAAAGTGACAAATGACAACAGGATAAACTAGGAAAACAGCATTAAGGAGGTGGAAGAGAAAGACATTTTACAAAAATAATAAAGAAGTAAAATGGAAGGTGAGGGAGGAAAGAGGAGCTCAAATAATACGGCTTGGATAAGTCATTAAATCTCTCTGAGCTTTATTTATTGATTTACGATTCAGCAAAGTCAACAAACATTTATGGGGCACCTACTGTGTGACAGACACTATGTGCTTGGGTTATAACAAAATACAGACCTTTGCTCTCCTACAGCTTATGTCAGAGAAGCTTATCTTTAAAGTGGAGTCATTTTTAGTATTCCATTTTATCATTTATGTTGTTTTTATCAGGTACTTCTTTATTATTTGATAGTGATTGTTCTAGGTATTACAATATTCATCCCTAAGTTATCATAGTCTAACCTAAATTAATATTACATTTCACCAAAAATGAAAGAACTTTGATATCATTCCATGGACCCTGCTGGCTCTTTTAGCTATCGCTGGGCCACTGCTGTCATATATTCTACTTTCACATAGAGTCAACCCTCATTATTTGTGGATTCTGTATTTTTAAATTCATCTACTTGCTAAAATTTATCTGTAATCCCAAATCAATACTTGCAGGGCTTTTGTGGTCATTCAGGGATGTGTGCAAAGCAGCAAAAATTCTGAATTTCCTGATGCACATGCTCCTGGCTGAAGTTGAAAAAGATGACATTCTGCCTTTTTTTTTCCGGCTCTTGTATTGTAGACAAGTACCCCAGTTCTGCATTTTTGTGCTTATTGTTGGTAATTCTGCCACTGAAAGTGGCTCCCAAACATATTGCTAAAATACTGTGTAGCGTTCCTACATATAAAGTAGAAAGTGTGAGACTCCATAAGAGGTGTAAAGAAAGGATGTTATAATTTTGCTGTCAGATAATTTATAATCTAGTTGGGGAAAAAAAGCAGAGATCTGATAAGCTAAATAAACAAATGTTAAAAAAAAAGGATGATGTTGTTAATGTCAGTGTTGATATGTCAGAAAAATTATTTGGATTATATACTTGCATATTTCCTCCTTTCAGAAATATTCTTTAAAAATTGGAGGCAGAAACATGCATTGTTTTTCTGCTGAAGTAGATGTTAATAACAGCCTTTGCAAAGTAAAAAACCTGATGGTATAAACAAATTCAATTTGTGAGAAGCAAAAAGGAAAACATCAACTATTCAGTCTTCAAATGTTGAAGGATGAAGATGCAAGGACTCTAGAACCTCCACTGATTTCCAGTGCTGAGAATGACAAAGTAGCTGGTACTAGACTTAGGCTTCCTACGGAAACAGCTATTAAATCTGGTCAAAATATACACAACAGCTGTTTGAAGTCACTGATCATCAACCAATCCGGGCTGATATCCTTTACAGCTCTCATGGGATCTCACACTTTCTACCACACTCAATAAACAAATGTCAATTGATTATCCTGTTGCTGACATTTGTTTATAGCTATACTATTGTGTCCTTATCCTGAGTCAAACATTAAAACTGCTGGGGACATAGTATCTGAAAGAAAGGAAGGAAAAAAGCATACTCTGTTATATTCTCTCCACTTAAGGACATGGCAAGTTCCTGCAGCTGGTGAGTAAGTCTATCCAAGAGATAGTGCTCCTTTTCCTTTTTCTGATGATAGTCTCCGACAGGTGCAAGTTCATCGGCCTATGAGAGAAGATAAGTCCATTTCACTGAAAAATTTATTTTGGTTTCATATTATATTTAAAAGAAAAAAAACTCCAGTAAATGCTAGAAGACAAAGTAAAGATCAATGTGAGACTACGCCTACCCTAGAGAAATGTAGATTATGATGTTAGAATGCAAACCAAATGAAAAATGAAATTATAACTTATTTTTTGTTTTGTTTCTTTGCTAAGTATTGCTCAGTGACCACTTGTCTCAGATGCAGTACAGGAGAGTAATACATAGGACATGGCTAGTATATGCCTTCCCACTATAAATGCTTGTGAGCCTTCTAGCCCTGGCACCTATCTGAAGCTCAGGCTTATGTTAAAAGAAAAATTCCTGAAGGCACTGCCAGGAATAAATTCCTCCTATTTCTGCAGAGTCACTGATGTTAGAGCTGCCATGTGATAGAAGCAGCTTATTTACCACTTACCCTCAGCCAGGTAATTTACTCTCTCCCACAATGTAATTCAAATGAAAACAATCCTAAGGTGTAAAATGTAAAATTTACACAATATAAAAATAAAAATAGTTTTTTCCTGGATTTTCTGAGTCCTCAGTGCTGGGTAAATTCACCAAAGCTGAATTTTCATCAATATTTCCGGCCCTGGCTTTTCTCCTCTAAAGCTCATACTCAGTAAGCCTGCTGTACGAGTCAGCACTGACTGCAGTTCGACTTCACCACTAAGGAAAACCCAAGAACTTCCCCACTCTAATGAAGTCCCACTTCATGAAAATATTTGTAAAAAGAAATTAATCATAATACTTACTTTGTTTAATTTTTGAAGAGCATTTTTATTTTCATCAATTGTCTGTTTCAATTGGATACACCTAAATTTAAAAAAAAAAAAAATTTATTTTTCTATTGTCAAAACCAGAATGTAATTTTATAAAATCATACATAAGTCTTTAAGCAGGCAAGACAATGAGCAATTGTATGGCTTACATTTAAAAATTCACATATAAAATGTTTTTCCATACATTATAAAGGAATGGTCCCCAAACGTAGTACAAAGAAACTTGACCGTGTCTTCAAAGATTTAAGTAGAAATTATTTTTACTTTATACCCAGCCAATTATCAATCAAACATAAGGGCTAAATTCAGCCTATAAATTTTATTCTATTTAAAAATCTAGTAAAGCAAGTACAATTACCTCTACTTTTTTCATTATTGTTTGATTACCAACTTGATCTAAATTCCTTAATCAATCTTACTAATAAATGCAGTTAATTAACTTCCCTTCAACATTTTAAAATTTGTATAAATTTTATTTTGCTTTTAAGTACTTTGAATGCCTGATTTAAATAAAACTTTTTCAAATGATTCGAATGAATCATTTAAACTAATAGAATGAATCTCACATTCTTTTTGAATGTTATACACTCTTTAAATATCCCAAACTCAGATTATCTTAACGATGTCCTAAACTTAATACAAAAGTATTAATAGTCTAATTCGATTTCGTTCATCACGACTGCATAATTTTAAACACTATGTAATTTTAAACTCTCCCAGGGAGGTTTTTTTTTTTTTTTTTTTTTTTAAGTCAAAACAAAATGAAAAAAGTTATCCACCAAGAGAACAGTTTTCCCACCTCGAAGGAGTTAAGGTCACCATCCTGAGCATGGTGGAAATACTAATAGAGATTTCTGACCAGGTCACAGGATTGGAGTTACACAGGCCAAGGATCTACCACAACTCTGCCTAAACCACTAAGGTTCACTCTGAGCAGTGTTTCTAGTTGCTCTCATGAAAGCAAGTCCACAGCCTTCAGGTTTTGGTTGTTTTCTCCTAGATCTAAGTTAAACCATGAAGTAATTTTTCCATTTGTTCAAATGGACCAAAGCTTGCGACTCTACTGAGATTTAGTGAAGTTCCCTCTCTTGCTTGACTGAATTCTGCAGTTTTTAGGAGATTTAAAACATTTGTATTGCCTTCTCACTCTTAATGTCTTATAGCAAAGTAATGTTAGAGATGTTAACTAACCACTGTGAACCTTAATTTTTTACATTATATTAATAATCATCGCATGATGTTATTGCAAAAATTAAGAAAAAGTTTCTCAAATGTGGACCATACTGCTTGGTAAATAAAATAAATAAAATAAATTAAGTTTCATCTTTTTAACATTTGTAATTCTCTATTTAATCTTATCATTTATCAATATTTAGACCTGGTAGATATAGATAATTGCAAGAAATATTTAAGAATGTGTTTTAAAAAATTTCACTCATTGTTACCTCAATATTATTTTCCATTATTATTTTGTCTTTTTTAGGAATTGTATTAAAAAAAAAATGGAAAGAAATAATGCCTCAAACAATTTCTATGCTGTAAACACTGCTCATTTAAATGCAAATACAGTTCCCGGAAAACTTATAAAATTTAGTATGCTTTACCTTTGGTAAATCTCTCTCCTTTTACTGGCTTCTAGAGCTCCTTTTAATCGACTCTCAAAAAGCAAACTATTAACCTACAATAAATGGAGATTGTTTAAAATATCAATTGTAAAATACCATATAACCTTAGGAAATAAAACTCTAATCTTTTTTTCCCAATATTTTATGATGAACACTTTTAAACATACAGTAAAGTGGAAAAAAATTTACAGTGAACACCATATACCCACCAACTAGATTCCATCATTAACATTTTACTATACTTATTTGATCCATCGGTTCATCAGTCCATCTCATTTTTATGTATTTCAAAGTAAACTGCAATCATCAATGCATTTCCTCCTAAATAATGCACCATGGGTATCACTAACTAGAGTTTAGATTTCCTGTAAAATTTACATACAGTAAAAATGTACAAATCTCAAGTATACATTTGCTGAGTTTTGGCAAACACATACACCTGTGTAACTCAAACCCCATCGTAGAAAAGTACCATTACACTGGAAAGTTCCCAGAAAGCATGGACTCTTTTCTGTAATCCTTTCACATAGCATGTTTTTGAGATACTTCATATTGTTGTGTCATCATTAGTTTATTCCTTCTTATTGCTTAGTATTCGTTTTATGAACATACCACGTTTTTTTTATCCTTGTTCTTATAACTTGACTTAGTATTTTCCAAACACTACATTTAACTTTGCCAATGTATCCACAAAAGAGGCACATACTTTTGTTGGATTCTTCTCTATAAATGATGGAGAGAAAACAAAGTGAATGAAGAAAGAAAAATAAAGGTTCACTATCTTCTTTTCTACTCTTGCTATTTTGCATCTGCCTGAGTGGTTACAAAATTCTCATACCTGGTGACAATGAGTCATCACAGGCATGAGCTCTTGATCACCTGTCCCCTGGACACCAAGTTGGAAATCCGTTCTGTGTTTTGCTTCAGACATCCTCTGTGGAGATGGGGAGAAATTTGCTCACACTATCAAAGAGCCCTTTCAGGACATTCAGGGTACTAAAGGCTCCTCAGCCAATTCTTCACCCTGAATAATCCACATTGAATAAACCTAATAGTTATTGTTTCATCTTTGTTTTAACAACAATATTTGTAGTTTACTTCTCACATTTTTCCTGGTTCTCCCAATATCCCACTAAATTTAAAATGAGATACAGAACCATATTAAGCATTTAGCCAAAGTTTAGCTTAAGTCAATGTCTTGTCGAGTTTTTTATTTTATTTATACAGGGCATTTTGTTTCTGTTGCACTACTGTAATTCCAATGGAGTCACTTAAGAAATATTTATCCATCAAATTTTTGGTACTTTTTAAATGAGAGTCCAAAACTGGATAAAATATGAGCATTCAGTAAATCTTGTCTGCCAAAATTTAGAAAATATTTTATTTAGTGAAAACAACACTTAGTAATAGATTATATGAAAATTAAAAAGTAAAATTAGCAAAGTGAAGTAAGAATTTCAGAAAACAAATTAACAACCCACTGATTACTACCTACTTTTTATTTCTTAAAGTAATTCACATTTGGTATTCAAAATTATGAAAATACCAAAAAGTATTAAAAGAAACATAACCATCAGCATGCTACCAGTGACCACTCTACCATGTTTCCTTTTTCTACATATATATATTTATTGAAATATTGTATATTCAATTGTTTTCTTCAACTGACATTTTATCACAAATATTCTCCCTAACACATTAAAATCTCTTTAACAAAATTTTAATCACAGTGTTATAGCCTATCCTAAGTTATGTATCCATTCTTCATTACTGATCATTTAAGTTTTATCCAGTCTATTACTTTATAAGTAACACTGTGATGAACACTTTTATACATCATATCTGTCTCATTTTTTTTATTATTATTATGCATGGTAAACTGGAAATGTAATCACTCAGCTTAGGAGCATGAATATTTGCTACAAACTGCTATCCAGAAATGCTGTTAACTTATACCCTGGAGAGTGTACTAAGTGCCTATTTCATCACACTCTCCCCAGTACTGAGTATTATGGTTTTTAAAATGTCTGTGATATCTCATTTCCTTTGCAATTACTTATCTTTGAAGTTAACTTTTTTCATGTATGAGTTATTTGTATTTCTTTAGTTCAGTCCTTTGGCCTTACACATGAGGACTATTCTTCGTCTACTTTGCTTGAATTCACGTGAAGCAATAACAGCCTCCACTGGAGCAAGGCTGAAGAAAAAAGGGCCTGGAGAATAGAGAATAGTGTTGGCGTAGAGGTGGTTTGAAATGGTTACTGTTAAATTTAGGGTTGGGAGTAAAGTGGATTAAGGGAGGTGTTCCGGTTGAGACTGAGATGTTAGGGGGAGGGCTCAGTCGAAGGTCACGACTTCGGGTGGTTTGGCCCTCAGGGTCGGGTTGGGAGGATGAGGGGTCAGAACCCGGGTTTGGTAGGGGATACTGGGAATGGGAGCGTCATAGTAGGGAATGTCTGTGGGTCGGGCTGGCTTTCAAGATTCGGGTGCCCTGGTATCGCCCCACCAGCGCCCAGGCCGCGGCACAATCCAGGCCCGCGGGACAGCCGGACGATACCTGCTGCTTTAGCTCCTGGCCGCGGCGATGCAACGATTGCAGGGGGTCACGCGGCCGCCGAACCAGCATCTCCTCACCTCCGCTCAGGGCGCGCGCCGGTCGCCAAGGAAACCACGGCGGCGGTCCCGGCAAGTGACGTCACTGGGTGACGCCATCAGCGCGCGCCCGTCTCGCAGCTCGACGCCGTGCGTGCGGGTGGGCGGAGTATGAGGTTTGTTCTGTGTGTGTACCTACTTCCTCCAGGGGGCGCGAGCTCTTAGCTTTCCTGCCCAAGTGGTTGTCTTTTCCTGGCTAACTGGGGTAGAGCTGGGGGAATGCTCAGGGCGTAGGAGACTGTGTCCCACGATACCGCAATATTGCTCCCACATGCCGGCTGGGGACTCGGTGTTATGGCATTGGTTTTCTGATGCCAGTTTTGCTAAACCGTAAGCTACACCATTTAAGCATCTTAAACTCTTAAATTTATTGCAAGGGTAGTTTTCCAATATGGCCTTCATGGGATACCCGGTGCTGTTGCATACTTTCATTTCAAAAGGTAGTTTTTAGTTCTTTGCCATTTGGAGTGTTGCTGAAGTTTCATTTCACCCCGGTTTTGCACGTTGTCCATACGGAATTCTGTGAGGATGGTGATTCTTTGTGTTCTACAGCAAGCCTGTGAGCAAGTAATTATGATACCCATTTTACACCTACTCTCAGAGAGATTTTACTAACACTTTCCCAAGTGGGACTGAATCTTTAAAATCCAACGGCCACTTTCCACTATTTGCGCTCACTTTTCAAGGGAACTACACTAACATATATTACATACGGGCCCAACTACCACACTATTTTGTACTTTTATCTTCAAGTATAATATAGAGAAAAGTGACAAGCGTCCACCTCACTGAATTTTCAAACTGAACACACCCCCACGTAACATCACCCAGATTAGGATACAGAACATTACCATCACCCTAGTACTCTTCTCCTTCTCCTAGTCTCTACCCACCTCCACTCCCCCAAAAGTAAACACTAGCAATGTGTCCTGGCATCTTGTAGGGCTTTGCACTCAACATGTTCGTGAGATGCATCTGTATCATTAGTATGTATAGTTGTAGTTTGTTCATTGTGAGATTTCATTGTGTGATGTACTCTAATACACTCCTTCGTTCTACTGTTGTTGGGACACCTGAGTAGTTTCCAGTTTAAGGCTATTGCAAGTACTTAGGACCTATATGTACAAAGCTGAGCCACAGGGCATGTTTTATGTACAGCTTTAGTGGATACTGCCTATTTTCCCAAAGTTGTACTAATTTACTCTCTACCATCGGTGTATGTTGTGTTCTTCATGCCCTTGATACTTGGTACTGTCTTTTTGTGGCTGTCTTTATTTTGAATTAATTTCTCCATTACAGCTCATACTTAAAAGTTCACTTAAATACCACATAGTATTTCCATTAAAAACACCTGTAACAAATGAGAAAGAGGTAAGTGCTGTAAAATATTTTTAAATGGATTAATAAATTAGTACTTCTAAGTTATCTTGTAAGAGGTAAGCAAAAAAAATGCACTAAAGACCATCTGTTTATGAAATCCTTATTTTAAATGTCTATAAATAGAAAATATTCTGTATCTGATTTGTAGGGATTCCCATATTTTAAGTGGAAAAATTAGTCATGAATATAGTTTAACTCTATGTTGGTAAAAAGAAAAATGAACCCCTACATATGTGTATATGTATGAGCAATGAAGAAGGATGACAAAAAGTTCATTACTCTTATTCACCTCAGGTGGAAAGATGACTTTGATTTTATACATTTTTTTTCTGCTTTTATGTTTATTAGTATTTGATGCTAAATTTACTCAGGCCATAAGTTTTTGTTTCTTCAGTTTCTTCTGGGATATCTTTTTCCTCTGCACAACCTTCTCTTCTGGTTTAGGAACAATCTGCTTTTTCAGTGAAGATCATCTCAATGTGGCAAGGAGAGCTCATGTGTGGGTTAATTTGCCCATGAGCTCTGTAAGTTCTGTGCTGCATCTTGGAAGCTTTGTTCACCTGGATGTGTTCAATGACCAGAGAATCTAGATCTAAACCCTTAAGTTCAGCATTACTCTCTGCATTTTTAAGCACGTGCAGCAAAAATTCAGCACTCTTTTTAGGCCACCAACGCTGTGTCCAGCCCCATTCCATTGTTTGGCCTGGGCGCATCTACCAACTCCACCATTGTAACAATAGAATGGCACACATTGCTTATGTAAAGTGACATCCTTCTGATACTTGGTGGCTTTTCAGATATGCATACCCTTGATGGCCTGGGCAGTTTCACAAGTGTTCTTAAAGTAAACATGAAGATTTGAACCTTTTGATCTGCATCATTTTGTGGGGTTTTCTGGGTCAAGTGAATAATGAACCATTTTCAGAGGTCACCTCAGGCCGCTTATGGGAAGAGCTGATTTTATACATTTTTGTACATATTCAGGGTTAAAAGCATTTATTCCTTGTGTCTTGGAACAGCATTAACATCAAATGGCAGGGTAGGGTGGGGAGGGGGTAAAACATGTATTTCGATATGTGAACAATTTGTCATTTCCAGGATACACGACTGGCATCATAACCCATCTTCCAGCCTCCTCACTGTCAATTTCAGCTAATTTGGAAAAAGTAACATCTCCATGTGAGATATTTTTAGGGAAACAAACAAACACATAAATAGGGCAAGGGGTATAGAGCTAGAGGAAAAATGGTGACAGAGGCAATGCCAAGGGGAATTCCCCACCACAGAGCTGGGGACAAACAGCCACAGTGTAAAGAAGCAATAAGCAGAAAACAAGGGGAAGATTATGAGTGGCATGGTATGGCTGAAAACCATATAAAGACCTAGACGGGACTTAAGGGAAGCAGCACTTGCCCAAAAAGGCAGAGATGACAACATTGAGGTGAGACAGGAGAGGGAAACTGAATATGTCAGGGGCTGCACATAAGTAATGGGAAAGGAAACAACATTGGATAGACCAGGTCCACCAGTAACATGGCATATGAACAGGCAGAACTAGTCATAATAACCCGGATGTTCAACAGGGCATATACCAACACTGTCAGAGCACCATGTGCCTTAAAAAATCCTACCTTGTCCTAGAGAGCCTCAATGAGCAATGGTGACTAGTATACTTCAGCAAACTGCAGCCTGAATGGGACAGAGCTCTAAGAACCAGCAATTCAGTCTTTAATTACTGCATTCACAGAATGAACAAAAGTTGGAAATAGCAATGCATAATGACCCCTGTAAAATGGGGAGGCAGGGGGAACCTCCTGTGGAAACAACTTTTCTGATTTTTCTTAAGTTAACATGGTGCTACAATTAAATTTGCTACGACATGAAATTAATCTTTACAGAAATAAGCAAGAGCAGTGTTCTAGAAAACTCTCTTGCAAATCAAAAATAACCAGGGACTCGGTCACTTACTCTTGATTTTTAGATATAGTTGGGATCTATCACTAAGCTCTATTCAAGAGAGTTTCTCCTTCGCATGTATATTCCATAATGAAACAAACAAAATTTTTGCCAATGAAACTTTTGCTCTGTACTGGCAGTATGTTGTCGCTCTCAGAAGTGCAACTCTCACATAGATCATCCTTACCTCAGTTGTTTTTATAGCTTTTTGCTTTCCTGAACAGATCCAGTAAAATAACTGACCAAAATGACTCAATATGGTACCTGGCCCAACTCTACTTTGCAACTGTACCAAGGAAAAAGCATAGATTCCCTAAAAAAAAAAGATAGCTGCTCAAAAATACCAATATATTAGTTTGAGAACCCAGATCTCTTAATGCAGTAAACTGCACGGCAGGAGTTTCCCAGCCTCTTCATTGCCAATTTTCATTTTAATAAAAAAAGTTCTAAGATGTTTAAAATATTTTTATTTTAAAAATAAAATTGATTTATAGAGTACAAGGTGAAATGATTTCTGTCCAGTGCTCTGTATCCATCTTCAACATGCTGTTGGCAACAGAAAAAAGAGGGAGAAAAAAATTAGAAATCATAATCATTAACTTTAAATTATCTTATTGTAGAGTTATACCATGAACCAGAAGATCTAGTGTTACAGGTAAGAAAACTGAGACCCTGAAAATTTGCACAGCTCTGATGAAAAGGCCAGGACTAGATGCAAGGCTCCTGACCCAGGCCACTGCTCTTTCCACTCCACTAGGCTACCAATAACCTAAGAATTCAGACTGGAGATTACAAAACAGGAATGCAAAGATGTACTATGGTGCTACCTAGAATATTATTGAAAAGAATGATAAGAGGGAAAAATGATGGCAGGAACACCTCCACAGTCCGTTCTTTTTTCCTTCGTTCTTTCCAGTATTTGCATTTTGAAGCTGAATACTGCCAACAGTGAGATATTGCACGTGGTAGGACGTTCCCATTAAATACATTGCAATGAACTGAACTACGACACCAAAGTGCAAGTTATTGGGGAAAACAAAACATCCTCCTCTTTTTTGGTGCCTGCGGGAGCAAGCCACCATCTGTGAGCTGTCCAAAAATCCTCCTTGCCCCCAGACATCTGCCCAACGCCAAAGAGCCACTCTAAGTACTACTCACCTACACTCCGGGAGGAGCCTGGCTCGGCAGGCGGGGAGTGTGAGGCGAGCCCGGCTCAGGCTAGAGGCCCCGTGTGGGCAAGAAAGGGGGCCACGCAGGGGCCATCCGGGGCCGAAAGCAAGGGGCTCAAGCCAGGTCCAGCTTTTTCTGCGTCACCGCCAGTTTGTCCTGAAGTCTCCGCTTTCTCCAGTCCAGGTAGCGCCTCCGCAGCCGGTTTGCCTGCCAACCCACGAGCACTCCTGAGGCGAAGGCCAACAGCATTGACAGCTGTAGCTTCCTCTCGGACACATCCGCCATCACGGTCACCAGGCTTGCAGTATGGCCTGCGGCGCGGCGGCGGGGTCAAAAGGCGCAGGCGCTTTTGGAGTAGGCGGGACGGGGGGTTTGGGGGCGGGGCGTGCCCAGAGCCGCCTACTGCTGCGAAGGCAGGGTCAAAAGGAACACGCGGTCAGGGAGGAAGCTGAGAAGGCTCTGCCCCTTGAGTGTGGACTGGATCTGTGACGTGCTAGGATGTCACTCCAGTGATCAGTTTTATGTTACATAAAACTTCTTAAAAGACTGAAGATTACTTTTGGCTTGGTGAAGCAAGCATGCATGTTGGAGAAGCTCAAATAGCAAAGAACTACCCCTGGCCTCTAGAAATGGTGGCATCCTCCAGCCAACAGCTAGCAAAAAGCTGGAGCCCTCCTTTCTACAACCACAAAGAAATTAACTGCCTACAACAGGAATAAGCTTGGAAGCAGAGTCTTCCCCAGGCTCCAGGTGAGAACCCAGCTGGGCTGATGCTAGACAGTAGCCTTGTGAGACTCTGCTAGATGACCCGTGTGCCTGGACTCCTGACCTTAGGAAGCTGAGATTGCTATAGTTGTGTGTTGTGTTAATCTTGCTAACCAGCAATAAAATACTAATAAAGGGTGTGTGTGTTGAAATTTTTCTACACTCTCCACCAAAGGACTCTCTTCTCTTGGTGCAGGGCTTAGTCTCCACCCCGCCAACTTGGGGAAATTTGTCCTGCATCATTAAGGGCCGCATGGTGTTCCTGGCCTCACTTCTTCTTACCCTATAACTTGTAACTGCACACAAACTTCATTTCTTTAATATAGTTTTTCTTTCCTCTGATTCAAGCTGGTTTTGCCCAGATAATGGCATTATGACTCACATTTTTTTTCTGTGCTTTTCCTTTGTCTGCCTGTTCCTTTAATCATTAAGCTTTAGGACATAAGATTAACCAAGCCTCAGGTCTACAATCATGAGGACAGTAGGTTTTGGTTGGACTTTAGAATAAGGATAACATCTTGGCTTTAGATGTATTTCAGCCCCAGGCCCTTTGAGGCAAAACTACAACCCCACTGGCCAAGGAACCAGGTCACAGGACCAGAAAGGATGGTGCCATGGCTGATTCCAGAACTGAACACAATAATTAATTACCTCATCTCCTTTTAATTGTCCAATCAGTAGCACCCATGACACCAAGTCCCTTAGTTCCCATGATAACTGATTATTTCTCTATATAATCTGTGCTTCTGAGATACTCGAGGACCAGGCCTATGAGCACTAGCTGACCTGTGTTTCTAGGACTTGCAACTCTCTGAAAATAAACACTTATTGTATCTAGCCCAATTCATGTGTCGGTTTTTTGGCTGAGGCAGGAAGCACAAGCCCTGGACTTATTTGTCCTCCAGTTTCAATATCACCCCAATAAATTTTAGAAAGAAAAAGAATCAAGCAATGAAAGGGAGACCCACACGTGAAGCCTGAACCCTTAGATTGGGGGCCTGACCAATATGCGTGTGTATTTCAGGCAAAACCTGATTTAGTAGGGAGATAATAAAGACAATATTGGGTCCAATGTGAATTCACCTCCGCCATGCTTAGTGATCATTTATTCAGCATTCATTGAGTGCTGCAGTAGGCAGTGGGAATGCAGAGGTGAATAAAGCACAACCTCTACCCTCAGACAGCATAATGTAGAGTGAAGACATAGAAAAAAATGATTACAACACACCGACGAATTGGTGTTTGTAAAGTGTGTAGCTTAGATTTTTAAAAAGAAAAAACCCTCAGAAACATTTTTTCTCTCATACTCCATCATCTTGTACTCTATTTTCTTGTTCTCTTTTCAGTAATGGCCAAAATTACACTTCTTCTCCCCACTTTTCACTTTATTGCCACTGCTGGGTCCAAGCTGCTATCACCTCTTAGCGGATTTACTGCAATAGCCGCATCATATGTCTGTGCTTCTCTTATCTGTTCACCACATTCTGTTCTTAATACAGCAGCCAGAGTAAGACTTTGAAATCAGAACTTGGGCCATTCAGCACCTCTGCTCAAACTCTGCAGTGCCCAAAGCCCCTGTATGGTCCATAGCGCTCTGTATGATCAGTTTACCTTATCCCTTACCTCTCACTGGCCTGCTTACTGTTTTGTTTGTTTATCTGTTCACCGTTTCTTAGGCTCACCAAGCATAGTGCTACCTAAAAATATTCGCACATGCAGTCCCCCTGCCTGGAATACTCCTCGCCCACGAACATGCATGATTAACTTCCTCACCTCCTTTAGGTGTTTGTCAGCTGTCAATGAAGCCTACCTGGCTACTTTAAAATCACAAAACAAACCAACCCACAATTTCTGGCACTCCTGATCTCCATTTTCCTGCTTTATTCCTCTCCTCCATAACACTGAACTGCCTTCCATGTGCTGTAGGATTTACTTACTCATTACTCATATTGTTTATTACCTGTCACCCGCTATCACATAAACTACTCGAAGCAGAGATTTTTGTCTCAGTTGTATACTGGTGAATCATAAGTGCTGACAGCAGGGGCTGACACACAACACTCAGTAAAAGTTTGGTGTTGATGATAGCAGGCAGTGGGCAGGAAAGGCGTCTGGGTGGGTGGCTGAACTAGCTCTTGAAAGATAAGTTGGATGATTGGAAGAAACTAAATTTTCCTGGGTCTCAGTTTCCTCATTTGTAATATACAGAGTTTGATATGGTTCTATAGCTCTTAAGACATATTTAAAGCCAGTTTGGCAGCCTGAGGTTGTGTACAGTAAGTCCTCAATGTTGTTGATATGTTCTGCAACTTTAAGTGAAATGATGTATGGTGAAATGAATTTTACCACAGGCTAATTGATATAAATGAGTTAAGTTCCTATGGCTTTTCATCAATGTTAAAACAACGATGTTGAATGAAACAACATTATTTGAGGACCTGCTGTTAGGTCCTGTTGAGGACCTTCGAGTAACACCGGGGCTACTGGTGTTATTGCAAATTTGAACCTTGCTTGAAATTCTTGCCTCATCACTAAATGGCCTTTGGCTAAAAATAAGCCAGATCATGTACACTGGAGCCTTAAATATGAGAACACCTTAGGAACACAGAGCTGGCAGAGATCATAGAAATGCCCTTACTTTAGCGGGAGGAGATTCTGACCAGCGGGGAGAAAGCTTTTGGGGAGGAGGGAGAAGTGTAAGATTTAAAATCCCTCTTAAAGAGCCACTGTGTCCCCAGCTTGAAAGTTTGCATTTTTTTCCCCCACTGCTGGGTCCATTTTTTTCCCCCACTGCTGGGTGCATTGCTTTAATGGGACATTTTAGTAGACTTGATAATGGTCAACTCGCTTTGAGGTGATGATTAACAGGCTGAATAGTCATGTGTAATGAGTGAATTCATTACAAGTGTTTTTTGAGTGAAACGTTAACTGTCACTGTTTAGTTTGCTGTCTGAAGTGCTTGCCAAGGGAAAAGATGTTACCATTTACAGTATTAGACTTTTACTGGTTGTAAGTTCATTTAAAGCATGTAAACGAATTGGTATTCTCTGCAGCTCCAGGACTCTAAGCAACAGAGCAGTCATTTTACATTCTACAGCCCCCATAAAAGGTGTAGCTTTGCTATGATTAAAACGGAGCATTCACCTCAATAGGTCCTTGAATTTTGCCTCTGAAAAACTCCTGCTGGGCCTGTGCCCACCCTGTGAGTCTTTAACTGCCAGAGCCTTTGTTTCCCAGCCTCTTCCCCTGTGCTATTGGAAGTAGGAAGAGAAGTCTCTGTGTGGTTGGGTATTGTGCTGAACTCACTCACTTGCCCCCACAGTACACACACTGAGAGGCTGGCATTAGGCGTAGTGGCAAGCAGTACCAAATAAATGTGTCTGGTTTTGTGATCCAAGTATGAATCATTTTCTCTCAGTGTGCAGGCAAGAATGCAGGGAACGCTGTGGGGAAAGATGAGCCCTGATCCTTCTCTTTGACAGGATCCATAAAACACTTCTTCAGGTTAGCTCCTCCAGTCTGTAATTCTGGAGGCATGCACAATAGAATGGCCTCCTATAACTCTTTCAGGAAGAATGGGAAAATTATCAGGGTAAGACACCTGCCAGTCTCCTCATAATTCTGAAGTAAGTAGCCATCTATAATTCATTCATTATTTCAACAAGTATGGGTGTGTCCTCCAATATCCAAAGGTAGAGCATTCCTATGAAACTTTGTTAGCCAACCCGGTGGAAAGCAGAGAAGTGATTACCATTAATTTCTATGGGAGAATTTTTGAGCATTCCTAGACCCAAAATTCAGTGCAGGCACAATGGCTTTAATTTGTTCATCATGATCAAAATGCTTAGTTACACCCAGTTTTATAATAAGTGTAACACCCTCACTTGCTCTCAGGCTTCTCTGATACCTTAGTACACATCTTGATAACAGATGTGCAGAGTCAATGGAGATAAAGCCCAAATTCTCCCAGACACAGTCAGAGTCCTGGGGCTGGATGCTGAGATGCTGAGAGGGAAGAAACTAGGCAGGGCCACTTTTGCTGCTTGAGTGCCACTGCCTTCATAACAGTTGCTGCAAAACAGATGGTGAACTCTATTTTCACTTTCCTCTTTTTTTGGTAAAAGCAAAAGATCTCATATTTCTTTTGGTTAGCAAGAACAGGTACTGATGTAGGTCTTTCACCAACTTCAGTTTTTCTGTATGCTTGGTTATCATACATGAACTAGTTTTGTTCTTATTCGGTTAGACACCTACTCTGGATACAGAGTGGTCTTCCCTTCGCACAGTGTTTCTGGTAACTACCATCTATAGACTCACAGAGTCCCTTATCCACCATCATGGTGTTCCACTCAACGTGGTTTCTGATCAAGGGACTCACTGCACAGGAGTCAAGTGTGCCAATGGGCTCATGCTCATGAATTTGCTGGTCTTTCCCTGTTCCCCATCCTGAAGCAGCTGATAGAACAGAAGAAAGGGCTTGTAAGTCAGTTGAAGCACCACCTAGGTTGTGATACCTTGGATGATTGAGATAATGTCCCCAGGAGGCTGCTTTAGGCTCTAAATCAGTGTCCCTTATATAACACTGATTTCTTCATAGTCAGGATTCAGAAGTCCATCAATCAATGTGGACATACATGTGTGGCACCACACATTATTATC